TTGCCCCTGATATCCTTGGACAGCTCTTTGGTCTTGGCCATAGTGGAGAGTTTGGAATCTGATTGATTGCTTCTGTGGACAGGTGTCTTTTATACAGCTAACGAGCTGAGATTAGGAGCACTCCCTTTAAGAGAACGCTCCTAATCTCTGCTCGTTTACTGTATAAAAGACACCTGGGAGTCAGAAATCTTGCTGATTCATAGGAGATCGAATACTTATTTCACTCATTGACATGCATTTTTCTGGATTTTTGGTTTGTTATTCTGTCTCTCACTGTTAAAATACACCTACCATTAAAATTATAGACTAATAATTTGTCAGTGGGCAAACGTTCAAAATCAGCAGGGGATCAAATACTTTCCCCCCTCACTGTATATAGTGTACAGTTGGTAGAGATGGTGAGAATGTTGAAGATAGTCTTGGTACCAGAAATAGTTATTGCTCTGCATCCACATATTAGTTCGCTTTCTGTGAGGAACAAGCTTTGAGGCTGCCTTTTTCATATTTTCTAACTTCCCAGTAATAAAAAAAACAAGGAAGGTCAACATAACATAAAAAAGTAGATTCCTTTAACAGCACTAGTCATAACAAAGTGTGCCCTGTGCTTAAAGTTGGAGCACTAACCAAGGAATTTGTTTCCCTTGCATCCGTGTCCCGCCTGCTCACCCCCCCACCTTGGTTATCTTGTCCCCCAGGTCCGTCTATGGAGACCCATATTTTTTCAAAGAATGTGTGGTTTTATGGATCGTGCATTAAGTAATTTTTGTTGATTCTCTGTTCTACTCCCAGCATGCCAGGTAAAAGGAGTTGCTGCAAGTCTTTTATAGCAGTGAAAGGCTGAATGATTTCGGGTTTGAATTTACATGAATGAGGCCGTTTACGATGCCCTTCATGAAAAAGCACAACACAGGCCTTTCTTCTATAAATACAGACAGTAGTAGCTGGTTTAGCTGGCAACCTCTGAGGCAGCATTAGATCCAGCCACAAACCAACATCCTTTATTCTCCATTGAAGGGATGAACAAAACACAACTTCTAACAAGTTTGGGCATCTCTTCTAAAGATGCATATAATGGCACTAGAAAAAGTGCAGAGGCGGGCTACAAAATTCATAAAAGGAATGGAACATTTAAAGGACCACTATAGTGTCAGGAAAACAAACTCGTTTTCCTGGCACTATAGGATCTTTAGGTCCCCCCCACCCTCAGGGTCCCACTTCCTGCCGGGCTGAAGGGGGAGGAAGAGGTTAATTCACTTACCTTTCTCCAGTGCCGGGCTCCCTCGGCGCTGGGGAAATCACCTTCCTCTTCCGTCGTCAGCGCTGAATGCGCATGCGCGGCAAGAGCCGCCCGCGCATTCAATCAGTCCATAGGAAAGCATTTCTCAATGCTTTGCTATGAACGTCAGTGTCTTCTCATTGTGATTTTCACAGTGAGAAGCGCGGAAGCGGCCTCTAGTGACTGTCAATGAGACAGCCACTAGAGGCTGGATTAACCCTAATGTAAACATAGCAGTTTCTCTGAAACTGCTATGTTTACAGCTGCAGTGTTAACTATAGATGGACCTGGCACCCAGACCACTCCATTGAGCTGAAGTGGTCTGGGTGCCTATAGTGGCCCTTTAAGTTACTTAGAAAGGTTAACAAATTTAAATATCTCTTTAGTTTGGAAAAAACAGCACCTCAGTAGGGATATGATATTATACAAATATATCCGTGGCCAATACAAACCATTGTGTGGAAATCTATTCATAAACAGGACTATACATAGGACACAAGGTCACGCATTTAGACTGGAAGAAATTAGATTTAGGCTAAGGCAAAGGAAAGGGTTTTGTTTTTTTCAGTAAGAACAATAAGGATATGGAATTCTCAGCCTGAAGAGGTGGTTTTATCAGATGTTTAAATAGCAATTGTATAAATACTTCCAAAAACATAATAATACAGGGATATCATTTCTAATTAGTGGGGTAATAACTGCTTGATCCAAGGAGATATCTGACTGCTATTCTTGCATTCTTTTGGTTAAACTGCAAAAACATATGTAAGAAGGACTAAACATGATGGACGCATGTCTCTTTTCAAGTATGTAACAGCCAGGGTTATTTAACTAAAGTGAGAATTCCAAAGTGAATTTTAAATTTAAGGCCAAAGTAGCTGAATTAGAAGCATAGCTTGACTTGGAGAATGTTTCCAGTTCAGCTATTTTAGCCTTAAATTTAAAATCATACACCAGATGAGGACCAGTGCAGGACAACGGTAAAGTAAATTGAATCAGGTGAAACATATATCATTTTATTCCTGTGCTTGTACAACTACAAATTATAGGCAAAAACTGCTCATTTGGAAAACTGCCTCAAAAGTCTATTTTAGAAAAAAAAAAAACAATGCAAAGTGTCCCAGTAAGGTTATTTTGACATTCCATTTAAAATTCCAAGTATGCAGGACTATTCACTAGTCACAGTTGTCAGGAAATCAAATTTAAGGCCACAATAGTCAAGCTGGAATCATAGCCGACTTGGAGAATTGTTCTGGTTTGGCTATTTTAGTCTTAGATTTCGAATTCACTTTGAAACAATTCTCACTTTAAACAATAACCCTGTTAGTTTTTTAAAAATCACCATGCAACCAAAGCTAATTCTCAACTTTGTTTCAGAGTGTCATGGGCTAAGACCTACAGCTTTCCACTGAGTGTTCACACAGCATCTGAAGTCTCCATGTGCGCATTTTATTCATACAATCTGCATTCTTTGCCGTCCTGAGTTCTATCGTGTTTAACAACAACAACATTTGACATATAAACACAACCTTTTATTTTGTTCTTCAGTGGAGGTAAACTAAACATTGTTCACCTAGTTTTGTCATTCAGAGTATTCGGGGCAGTTAATTGGTTAATATATTTTTTTGAAGGATCACTGTAGAGTCAGGAACACAAACATGTATTCCTGACCTTATAGTGTTAAAACCACCATCTAGCCCCCACCCCCCGGGCCCTTCATGCCTCCATGAATATAGCAAAATCTTACTGTATTCAAGCCTGAAGATGTAACTCTGCATGCTGTTTGCCTCAGAAAAACAAGCAGTCTGCTGACATCATCAGAAGTAGTAGCCTGATCCAATCACAGTGCTTCCCCATAGGATTGGCTGAGACTGACAAGGAGGCAGATCAGGGTCAGAGCCAGCACGATTCAAACAAAGCCCTGGTCAATCAGCATCTCCTCATAGAGATGAATTGAATCAATGAATCTCTATGAGGAAAGTTCAGTTTCTGCATGCAGAGGGAGGAGACACTGAATGTTTGGATGCATTTTAGGCAGCCATGACCCAGGAAGGATCTCTAACAGCTATCGGAGGAGTGGCCAGTGAAGTTATCACTAGGCTGTAATGTAAACACTGCATTTTCTCTGAAAAGACAGTGTTTACAGCAAAAAGCCTGACGGTAATGATTCTACTCACCAGGACAAATTCAATAAGCTGTAGTTGTTCTGGTGACTATAGTGTCCCTTTAATCGCATTAAAAAAAACCCCCAAAAAACAAACCCATTTGCAGTATCGATGCAGTTATCTGTATGCTAAAAGGAGATACAACACCTCAGCTGCTGAGCTAATGTTTTTATTTTATTTGACTCTTCGTCTGTTTGTCTCCATTGTGGGAAGTCAGTTTTAGCTGTTCTGTGTGTTCTCAGCTCCTTTGTGTCTTAATTAAACCTAGAAGTGTAAAAAAAAAAACAAAAACAAAAAAAACAAGAAAATCTCAAACTGCTACCAAACCATGTCACCCACTAATACGAAAGCCATTTCTGCTTCTCAAAAAGTTCTTAACAACCATAAGCAGAAGTAGCAGAGGGGAACTAGACTTATGTATTTATAACACACAAAAAAAAAGAATTCCCACTATGACACAAATAACAATACAAAGGCAGATTGAAAAAAATAAATATAAACAGACCATATGTAAATTCCCTATTTTCACAACGGAGAGCCTGAGCTACTCTGCTCTCTGTTAGCACCGTGGTCAGTTTTTTTATTCATGCAGAGTATTGTATACGTGGTTCATTATACTCAATGAGGGTGCTTTGTTAAAGGAACACTATAGGGTCAGGAACACAAACATGTATTCCTGACCCTATAGTGTTAAAACCACCATCTAGCCCCCTGGCCCTCTAAATATAGTACAATCTTACCTTTACTGCAGTCTGCTGCTGCTGGCTCTGCCCCTGATCTGCCTTCTTGGCTGACATAATCATAAGTGTTGATTTGAGCCAATCACAATGCTTTCCTATAGGAGAGCACTGGATTGGCTAAGACTATCAAGTAGGCAGATCAAGGGCAGAGCCAGCACAAGCCAAACACAGCCCTGGCCAATCAGCATCTCCTCATAGAGATAAATTGAATCAATGCATTTCTATGAGGAAAGTTCAGTGTCCCAGGAAGGATCTCTAACAGCCATCTGGGGGGTGGCCAGTGGAGTTATCACTAGGCTGTAATGTAAACACAGCATTTTCTCTGAAAAGACAGTGTTTACTGCAAAAAGGCCTGAAGGCTGTAGTTGTTTGGGTGACTATAGTGTCCCTTTAAGATGCCAGAAAAATTCTAACATCTATAACATGCATAATGTGTTTTTATACTCTCTACCCGTGCTATCAAAAGGCGTGCCAGGCAGAGTAAGAAAGATGGAAGGGTACCGGACAGGGCGAGAGAGATGGAAGGGCGAGCCGGACAGGGCGAGAGAGATGGAAGGGCGAGCCGGACAGGGCGAGAGAGATGGAAGGGCGAGCCGGACAGGGCGAGAGAGATGGAAGGGCGAGCCGGACAAGGCGAGAAATATAGTGTTAGCAGGATAGGATAAGGGTAAAGGGTAAGTAAGAGAGGTAAGTTGTCAAGGAGGGTAGCAGCAGATAGTGAGAGTTCATTGAATGTGACGAGTTGGTTTCCGGAGTGCAGTTAGCTCTGTGTAGAATCCAAGCCATGAAAACACACACACAAAATACAACACGAAGATATAAACACATTTACAAACGTTTATTTGCATGTATACAATTATGGTACAAGCATATATATGTTTCTTGACACCAGCACAGTACAGCACTGGTTGGAATGCCAGCACCCTCTAGTGCTCAGAGAAAGTGCAACGTTTAGTTTTGCAATGTTTTACAGGCAGGGATTTTAATTTTACACTGACAGCCAGGGTTATTTGCTAAAATGAGAATTTAAAGGTAATTTCAGATTTAAGGCCACAGTAGACAATCTGAAACCAATAACTTGGATAATGTTTCTAAATTTTGCTATTTTGACCTTAAATTCTCTTTGAATTCAAATGTTTCTGTTACTCTGGCTATGGTTTTCATTGTATTCAGTCATTTCTAGTAAGTACATTTAATAAACCGCTTTTACAGGGATGTTCGGTAAAATCCCCACTATCTGGTTTTGTTAAAAGGTAGATTATCTATTAGAATCAAGCAGTGAGATTTGTTCTCTACTACACGATCACCATGTCTCTCGATCAGTCTCAAGTCATTTCCAGCATATCCACAACAGGCTGGTGTACATTGACAAGCAACCAACCTAATCGAGATCTTCTAAAATATATATATTTTTTCCTTTTAGACCTACTGCTTAATCTTCTGCAAAACTCAGGTAAAGAAAGAGTACAGACCCATTTTCATTCACAATTTCTTTGTCCCCTCTTGTCTGCTCTCATGCGAATCCCCCACTACTCTCATGTTGTGCTTCCTCCTCTTTGCCTTCCTGTATCTAGTGTCAGTCCCAAAATCCACGTGAACCTCGCCACGCATGTCTGATCCTGTACTGCCACAGTATTTTATATGTTCTGATATATGCACTAGTAACAGATTACTGGATGATAAGAACAGTGGGCTATTTGCCAGAGAAGTTAAATCTAGTCTTAATGAATGATGGCAACTCCTTAGGAAACAATGGGTATTATTCATAGGCCTCTGAGGGCCAGACATTTGCCATCACTATCAGAGATTGCAAAATTAATCCATACAATGTGGATCAGATAGTGGGTGGAACCTTGCACATATCCTCCCTGGGATTGTCAAAACCTGGTTTAAAGGGTAGGATGAATCTTATTTCATCTCGAACCTTTCCTCTTTATTTAACATTAATTCATACTCTAAAACATACACTAAATAGATATAGATTATTCACATACCAACACATTCTGATGCTTTCCATAAACCAATTCTGAAATTGCCACATACTACATCCCTTAAAAACAAACACAAACGAAATACAACCTCTAAACCGATACATTCAGGTGTCCTTTATATCCTCTCCTTTTTCACACGCGCACAGAAAAATCATAGGTTTCAATCCATAAGACTGTCTACTTACTCCATCAGTAAATGAGTACTTGGCCGTAAAGCTAACACTTGTCTGATTTGTCAGTGCAGTAATATTGCCGTTCTCTTTTCTGATAATCAAACAATCAATGCAACTAGCTGTGAACGGTGGGGTAGAAAATATAAAAAAAAGGTAATCAAGGTACATAGCAGTATGAAATTCAGACATCTTAATGGATGAAGTGGGATTTATGGTGCAGAGACAGGACGGGGGACAAACTGCTCGGGGAGAAAACTATTAAAGAATTGGTGGGAGTACTGTCAACGCATTGGTCAAAAAATACAAGCTAATAGTTGGTGGTGTGATTTATACACACATGGGAACATTGATAAACTCAGTGCAACTTGCTGTGTACGGGATATAAAAGGCTCATGTGTTCTGCATCCTTAAAGGGAAGTTTTTGGTTGGAGTAGTAATGGACCACTTCTGGGATGCTGTTGAAAACGCCTCCTGTCTGGTTTAGAGTATATTTGTTATCTTTGGTTTGAGCGACGATGATGTGAACACAGCCCTGACTGGTCCTAGAAGAAGGAAAGACATTTGTATGAGATACATCATCCCTCTATTCTCCCAGAATTCGCTGAAAGATTGATTTATACCAGGGCTTGACAAATTTGTTTAGAATCTTTTTCATTTAGAAACGAAGGAGACAGTTTTTGGAAAAACTAATTTTAAGTTTAATTTTCAACGAGAAAAATGCAATTCTTAAGGGACACTATAGACACCAGAACCACTACAGCTTAATGTAGTTGTTCTGGTGTCCATAGCCTATAGCTGCAGACTTTTCAATGTAAACACTGCCTTTTCAAAGAAAAGGCAGTGTTTACATAGCTGCCTAGTAACAGTAACTCAGATGGCCACTAGAAAGTCCTTGGTCAGAGTTGCACACACCTACGTTAAGCGTCTCCACGCTCTGTATGGAGGCGTTGAATGTTTCCCATAGAGATGCATTAATGAATGCATCTCTATGAGGAGATACTGATTGGCACATTGTTTTGCTGCGCATGCGCAATTTCTTCCCTTAGCTGAGATCATAAAGACTGATTATTTCAACAATGGAGACAGGACAGCCAGACGGCCATGGCAAAACAGGCATGACGTTGGAAAAAAGGTAAGTAAAAAAACTTTGTTGTGCGATTGGAGGTGGGCAGGTACCTAAACAGAAACAGACTCTCTTCTCTCTGCAGTAATGCCGGGGCCGGAGTGACGTCATTTTCCGGCTCCTGGCATCATTAATTAACAGCGCGCGAGGGTGCAGTGAGGAGCTGTAGGTAGATTACTGCTCACTCGCACACCGCCTACCATGCTTCCACGAGTGGCTGCCTTAAACGGCTGACATCCCAGAGCCATGGCGAAATTTCTAGTTGCCATGGCGACCTGGGATTTGTCGAGCCCTGATTTATACCAATGCTACTTTACAGCTTATTACACCATAAAGCTATAACAAAAGAACACTATAGTGTCAGGAATGCAAACATGTATTCCTGGCACTATAGTGTTTAACTATTTAAGGGGCCGTCCCACTTCTGATGTCAGTAAAAAAGTGATTTTATTCACCCTTTTCCCACGTCTGTCTCACTGCGGCTGGCCCTGCCTTCATGGCTGAGATCATCAAACTTGATCTCTGCCAATCCAGTGCTTTCCCATAGGAAAGCATTGGGAGGCTATATCGCATGTGCAGCAAAACACAGAGCTGTGCCATTCAGCATCTCCTCCTAGAGATGCATTGAATGAATCTCTATGGAGGACTCCATGTGGACCATGGAGATGCTGAACGTCAGTGACTGGACTAAAAAGCACCTCTAGTGGCCGTCTGAGTGACCGCTACTAGAGGTAATCCTGGCATCAATGTGAACACGGTCTTTTTTCTGAAAAGGCAACTTTTATATTTAAAAGCCTACAGAGGCAGACTATAGGCACCAGAACAACTACATTAAGCTGTGATTGTTCTGGTGACTATAGTGTCCCTTTAACCCCTTATCTCCCAGCCAAACACTTTTCATGTGAAAATAAAAGCAAAAAAAAAAAAAATCCAGTGGAGAAACACATTTCACTGGCAGATCTCCATTTAGTAACTCTGTATCACGTTTATATACAGTTTGTATCCCCCCCAATACAGATGTAAAGGACTGACAGGCATTGGAAATATTAAAACTATGTATATTTATCTAAATTTTTGGGGCATTTGTGAACAGTAATCTATGCGTGAAATTGGTGCTTTATCCTAAACAGACACGCAATGTATCAAATGCACATTGTGCTTAAAAACTACTTCTATTTGAACATATTGCACTTTGTATTCAAGGGATCGATCTGTTTGTAAATGGAGAGTTTCCCCTAGTTATGATCCATGTAAAGAATTACTATGCAGCTGTAGGTTCTTTACTCTTTATAACGGTTGTTAACAGTGATATTCGGCATTAGCAGAGTGGTGTAGACAACATAGCCCGTCTCACTTACTTTAAAGCAATAGAGTACTTGCTGTTTCCAGACTCGCTGTTGCGCAGCAAGTAACTGGCCTCTCGACAGGACTGTAGCCGGGTCTCAGCTTCTGCACGTGTCACGGCTCCGTGGTACCAACTGCAGCCAAGAGAGGGAGCTAGTGTTACATACTGAAAAGTGCAAGGCAGCCTCTGAGCACACACAATTCTATTGCAGTACGATTATACACAGGACAGGGTTCTACCATAATGGCACATAGGACAGTAGTGTGACCAGGGGTGGATCCAGAGCCTTATCTCGGGAGGGACACTCATAGATTATTTAAAGAAACAATCCAGGCACAATAACCACTACAACTCTATGTAGTGGTTATGGTGCCAGGAGTGCAGTGGCGCCCACCCAGAGTAAATAATCAAACCATTTAAGAACAGTTTGAAAATTTACCTGGGGTTTGCTAGGATAGGGGCTGTAGTAGGGGATAGGGCCTCTAGTAAAATGTGTGTGTGTGTGTGTGGGAGCCGGTCAGTGTGTGAGGGATGCAGGGTGGGTATAGGAGGCAGTGCGTGTGCTAGGGGTGCAGTTTGGACAGTGCGTTTATTGGGGTACAGTGGGGGCAGTGTGTGTATGGGGGTACTGTGTGTAGGAGGGGTAGTGTGTGTTTATGTGAGGGGTGTAGTTTATGCATGGGAGTGCAGTGTGTGTATGGGGGTGCAGTGGGGGCAGCGTGTGTATGGGGGTACTGTGGGGGCAGTGTGTGTAGGAGGGGTAGTGTGTGTTTATGTGAGGGGTGTAGTGTATGCATGGGAGTTCAGTGGGGGCAGTGTGTGCATGGGGCAGAAGTGTGTGTATGTGGGTGCAGCGTGTGTATGGGAGTACAGTGTGTAGGAGGGGTAGTGTGTGTTTATGTGAGGGGTGCAGTGTATGCATGGGAGTGCAGTGTGTGTATGGGGGTGCAGTGGGGGCAGTGTGTGCATGTGGGTGCAGCGTGTGTATGGGGGAACTGTGTTGTAGGAGGGGTAGTGTTTGTTTATGTGAGGGGTGTAGTGTATGCATGGGAGTGCAGTGTGTGTAATGGGGTACAGTGGAGGCAGTGTGTGTATGGGGGTATTGTGTGTAGGAGGGGCAGTGTGTGTGTTTATGTGAGGGGTGTAGTGTATGCATGGGAGTGCAGTGTGTGTTTTGGGGTACAGTGGGGGCAGCATGTGTATGGGGGTATTGTGTGTAGGAGGGGCAGTGTGTGTTTATGTGAGGGGTGTAGTGTATGCATGGGAGTGCAGTGTGTGTATTGGGGTACAGTGGGGGCAGCATGTGTATTGGGGTATTGTGTGTAGGAGGGGTAGTGTGTGTTTATGTGAGGGATGTAGTGTATGCATGGGAGTGCAGTGTGTGTATTGGGGTACAGTGTGTGAATGGGGGTGCAGTGGGGTCACCAAGGCACTACTGTAATGATTATGGTGCTTGGAATGTTCGAATCGGGATTTCAGCCATTAATAGTGGACCTCATTTAGGCTCCGTTGGAGGCTACTTTGCAAAATGCAGAGATTGTTATATATTGTGCACAATGTGCGTATTTTGCTATAAATGACTCTGTACAGAACCAGGTGGTTTGCAGCATTCTGATATAGTGAAAAACACTGACACTGTATTTTACTTCTATGCTTTTCTCATGCATTGCATTTTCCCAAGTTTTTGTGAAATAAATAACCTGCCAATCATGGGTATATGAAGCATTTTGAAACATTATAGAATGACTTTCATTCACCCCATCTTGGAACAACTTTTCATGTTAAGTACAGTTAAAGGAATAGCGCACACACAAAAACAAAAATACAGTTTTACATGGCTACTCAAAATCACCTCTCAGCAATCAAATATGGGGTTCAGTTACACCATATGGCCACATTGTGTTAAACCCACCACTATGTCACAGCCCCCCGATATTGGTGGGTCCTACACTAATTTTAACATGCTAACTAGCAGTATAAACTGCATCCAGAGACTCCTCAATTTATGCTTTCCTGTGGTCAACTTCATATTACCCTTTTAGTTTAGTTTTTTTTATTATTTTAGCACAGCAAAAACTGCTGGGCCTCTGCCCCAATTGACAAGTCTCCACTGCTTACAATAGAGTGTCACTCACATCATCCAGAGCATATGGGACTTGCTCTGTCCCTCCTAGCAGTGGGGGTTATAGTTCATTTAAAGGGACACGTTAAGCATCAGAACGGTGGTCTTGGTGTAAAGAGGGGATTTCTATTGCGGTCATGCAATATTTGAAGGACAGTCGATTAGTATCTTCACCCTCTGCAAGAAAATGCTGAACGCTGTCCATTGGGATAATGGATTAGCCATACCTTTATGAATCAGACTGCACTTGCAAAACACTGAAGTCTGCTGTAGTCACTGTGATTGTTGCTGAATAACTAGCTAGTAAAATGGATATTTAATGCCTACTGTTTTTGTATTTAAAAATACAGGGCCCTACATACTCTATATAATAGAGACACAAAACATTGTGGTCTTTTTACCTCTGTTTCTCCAGGGGCACGGTGGGATCTACTTTCTCACACTGTTCCGGGTGCTGCTGCTGCTTCAGAACTTTTGAGGTCCAGCTCTTCTGCCGCTGGTGTATCTTGGAAACTTCCTCTTTACCGGATGACCGCTCGGTGCTCTCAAACTGAACTGTAGGCCAAAGGAGGACAGAGATAAGCCTGACACATAGATTGTAAACACCATATGCCATAGACAGCTCTTTACCCACTCACATACAGTTCTATTCCATCCATTTTATCAGCTCTCTTACATCCTCAATCTCCAACCCTCACATATGTCAATCAGCCTGATCCCTTGCCTGAAAGTGCTCTGACAATATGCTCCTTCTTCCACTCCCATGGCTGTTCGTACTCCCCTGCAGGCCTTTCGTCATTCTCCGGTCGCGGCCCCTCAATTACCCGCGGTTTCTTCTCTTGCCCATCTCCTTCACCTTCTGTCTCAGGCGGCTCGTATGGCGTGTCATACAGTTGTGGTGGCTTCCCCGGTACCTCTTGAGTCAATGGCTTCTTGGGATCAGCCTTTACTTCACTCAAGGCACTCAGCTCCAATAGCTGGAGGTCAGTGATGAGTTGATCTTTGGAGCCTCTGCGGCGAATTTCTGTGGTCATCACAAGAAAGAAACTTGTTCAATGGGAATTTAGATAAAGAGTTCACATGGAGTAAATACATTGATCTCCTATTCACACAAATGAACAAATTCTAATGAAACAAAGCAATTCTTCAATTACAAAAATATAACCAGAGAGAACAAGATGGATAAAAAGTTAGAATGGGGGATGAGAGTCAGAGGGAAATGGCAAGAGTCAGATAGAAAGCAATGAGAGATGAATATGAAAAAACATTCTGGAAAGTGAGAAATTAATGAACTGGGAGATGGACAGCGAACACAAAAGTGAGAGACCTTAATTGTGAGAACAAGACAGAGATTGGACAGCGAGACTGCAATGAAAGCTAGAGAACTAGATATCGACAGAGAATAATAATCTACAATGTGTCAAAAAAACTAAACAAAAAAAGCATGAAGCTTTGTTTCTTCACAATTTGAAAACTGGCAGAACAACAGAAATAAAGTTCAATATTTTGTGGCATAGCAGTCATTTAACAGGCTGCTGTTCTAACAATATACAATAAAATCACTGAACTTAGAAGATTTGGCAGAGAAACGTGATAAGGGCTGGAAGGGACATATTCCGGGTAATAAGCCAGAGAGAGATAAGATTTAAATCCTTTATTTCTTCCAGGAATCCCCCCCACCCCCTGTATTTCTGGGCCACAACTGGTGCCTGGACACCTGGCTACCCCATTCTCCTGGCGCCATGGCAACATAGCCTATCCGGTGGGCCGCCACAGTATCCTTCCTGCCAATCCAATGTGCCGTCCACAAGAGGAAACAAGTCCGAGAGGCAGGAAGGAGACAGAGGAAGTCACACCCAGGCATAGAAAGAGGACTAGCACAGAACGGACCTCCTAATTAACAGACCCATGACAATGGGTGAACATTCTATATACACTAACTACAACCACAAGTCATTTCAAATTGAATTAAATAAATAATTAAGAAAATGCATCAATGTAATTCTTCCCTCCTACTGCTTGAAAAACACTGATGGCATTTTACTATGTATGTACTATTAACCCCTTTCAAATAATATGCCAGCATAAATGTTTAGGAGTCATAACATGCAAAGCAGCCATTTGTAAACTCCCATGACCCTCTATCAGAACCATGCAAGCTGATTAACGCTGTTATACAGACAGAACAAATGATCTATAGTAGGGCAAGGTGGCATGTGGCTTAAGTGCAATTCACACTGTGTTCAAGTCTAAAAAAACTACAACTCACATCATGGCTAGCCTCTACAGGTTTTTAACAACAACAAAAGTATCATGTCCGTTGACTGCATTTTAGTGTGCCAGTGACTTTTTTTTTTGTTTTGGTAGAAATTTAAGTTTTCCAGGGTGTCTCTGGTCAACAACTGCTTTCACGAGAAAATGATTTGAAATTACTGACCGTTTAATATCATAGGTCAAGTATAGCGATCATCTTATTTCTAATATAGATATATATATATATATATATATATATATATAATAATGTCCAACTTTGCACAGCACTGAAAGGCTGAGAGAGCTTAGATAAACCCATTCCCAGCACTCTCAGCCAATCACCACGGTCCAGGTAGAAGTAAGTCGATATTGGTCACGAGTAAGCACAAGTTCCGCATTATCAATGCATCTGGGGGCGGGGGTTTATACACAGGCCGTGGACAGCCACGTTTTGTGTCAAACCACTCCTAAATGAAAACAGTGAATATCAGCAATATAACCAATATCCTGGGCTGTACTGGTTATTCTGCATAGACTGCAATGTTCTTAAAGAAACTGGTTGCATCTAAACCCCTCCAGATATTAACAATCCACCATTACCATAGCTTTAAACTTTAAGAAACTAGTTTAAACATTACAAATCTCATTATAAGAGTTTATCCCAATTGTACAGCGCTGCGGAATATGTTGGCGCTTTATAAATTCCAGTAATAAATAAAGAAAGAAAATAACCCCCCACTCCCTATTTCCAAAGCTCCTATTAGTTTTACAGAGATGCGAACAGATTTAATTTATTTTTTTGGGCTGATAAATCCCAGACCAGTTGAAGCCAGTCCCTCCCTGGGGTGCAGGGGAACTGAGCGGAAATTAGGAGTTTACGGTTTCCTGCTGTGAGGAGAGATAAGGGCTAAGGTTTCTATGGAACACACTGCAATCCATAGGATTGTGAACTTTGACCTCTACCTCAACCTGTAATCAATGAAGCACAAAGGGGACAGGATGCCACATTAACACATTCAGTGCCGGAGGGGATGAGCAAGGTGTTTTCCCAGCTGGCCCAACAGTTAGTAAGCATAAGAGGGTTCAAAACACCCATGGCAATCAAGAGGTTAAAGTGCTAACCTCAAAAATTTGGCAGAATAGTGAATAGGCATCCCCAGCCTGTAAAAGGAAGTAAAGTAATATTATTATCCCAAGGGAGGGGACACACTTTGTAGCGAGCTACAGACTAGCTGATTCAAAAGGAAATAGATCTACGCTGTTAAAAAGGTAGTAGCTTCATGGCACGGTCTTACTGTGGGAGAGGTAACAGCAACTTTGAGGTAGTGGGTTTTATATATATGTATGTGCACCTTGGAGATAAAAGTGTGACAAAAGAAAAAGTCTAAATGTCCTAATATCCCAAAATGCTAAATTTCCCAGTCAGTTACAGATGTGTGTTCTTTTTTGTTTGTTTTTTACATCTTTAAGCCATTGGCTGGTACCCACTGTCTATGTATCAAAATTGTCCTAATATTGATAATAAGATTTTAGACAATAGAACAGGGTCTGATTACAGCTGAATGACTCATACCGGTTATAATCTGCTGAGCGTCATACGGTTCCATGTAGCCATCATTCTCGCCGACGCGCTCTGCATCACGTTGTCCCTTTGTGCGTTTGGCATCGAAAGGGTCTGCGTAATCATCCAAGATTATTATCTGCACAGAATACAATTATTTAAAAAATAAATAAATAAATAATCACACTGCAGATCAAGAGTCATTTTAAAGGTTTAAAACAAAACAAAACATTTAGAATGTAAAAGAGAATATTACTAAAAGTGTTACGATTTATAAAAAACAATAAAGTTTACCCATATAATGCTGTAAAATTAAATTACAGACCAGGAGTTTATTCTTTTAATGTTTGAAAAGACTCCTGGTCTGTAATATTATTAAACAGCTTAACATGGATATAACATTAATGATTCCTTTCCCCCATATACTGATATATTCTTTTGTTCTTTGAATCTTAAAAAAAAAAAAAAAAAAAAAGCACTTGGATCTATATACAACTATTTAATTCTTTGAGATGTATGATATATGCCTATCAGTACGTCTGTAACTGCATTGTACATTGGAGAGCTTTCTTTGTTACTTTTTACATCCTCAACATGATGTTTAGCAGGAACAAAATAGGATACAGTAGATAGATTTTGTCCACTAGATTCTTCATACTGCCTATATTATTTGTAAATTAAGGAGACAGTACTTTGTTCAGTGTATGCTGATCAAAAGATATTACAAACAGAAGGTCTGCAACCTATTTTGATTGTGATCTAGTCAATCTCTTCTGATAGCTAATTAGGGCTTAATGTATCTGCTTGACGCTGCCATCCTCATTTTTCTTTCTTTTTAACCATCCTTGTAAAAAGAATGGAACTGAAAACATTGCCAGGTGGTTACATGGGTCAATACATCGCTAACTGCACCGTACGCTGTTGTTATTTAGGGATTGCAATGTACACAGGTGGATCATTATTATTTATGTATCAAGTGATATTTTTTACTTACGGTTTCCTCTTTGAGCCGCCTCTCCTGATCTTGGACTTGCTGTTGCTCCTCAGAGCCCTGAAAATTGTGACCATTCTTTTCCAGAAGGTTTGTGTCCACTCTAATAAGGCGATTTAAAAAAGTACTGTGACCTTTCGGAGGTCGGAGACCTGCAGCCTCGTCTTTCGAATTTTTCCTGCTTTTGCCTGGCAGCAGGCTAGGTAAGCTTTCCCGCGATAATCGGGTATCCTTGAGTCCTTTTCCAAACCCATCAGAGGAAGAATTCTTCCTGTTTTTCATAGCAGACCCGACTGAATCAGAGCATGAGTTTTTACGTGAGGCTCCAACTTTAGGCAGTGTTTTGGCCCCTGGTGGTCCAGGTTTGGCTCTGTCCGAAACATTCTTCAATGTCTGCGGTAGCTCTTTAAACCACTTTGCCATGACCAGAGCACTAACAAGAAATATGAGACTCTGAAAGGCCAAGGGCCACAGGGGCCCCAAGTGTTAGGCCTACACTATCCAGGAGTTCCAAGTATCCAGTGGCTGATACCGGCTTCTCTGGCCCCCACCGCTGCCAGGGTCTTTGGATTTATTTTTGTGGTGGGGTCAGGAGCTTTCGCTGTGGGCTGTCGTCCCAGCCTGGTCTTCAAAGTGGTCAACGTACCCAGGCTTTTTGTATCAAGGAATATTTTGATTACTGCTGGCACCCTGCTCCAGCAAGTCTTCTGATGGTCACTTCTATAGATCTGAAGCCAAACAAAATGTTGAGTTGTTGACTGTCCTAGGTGGCAGTGATGTGCTGCTGCAAAAATGTCCAGATGACAGTATGAGATCAGAAAAACAAGACGTAACGTCTTTATGTCCTAGTATCCCAGAATAGTTGATGTTAGGATCAAGTTTTCCGTAAGCAAAAAAGGAGATCTGTTGCGCACCAGGATCTTTCTCTCAGGGCCCGTTGGCTATTTGAGGTGTCACAATATGGCATTCAGGGAACGAAAGACAATGCAATGAGCACAGAGTAGGAGATTAGGTTGGTGTTTCTCAGCACGTATTCAGCAGCATCCGGGACAGTGTCAGGGCAGCTCTGTAACAAACAATTACATCTGTTGTGATTACAGTTCCCACTCCTGTAAAGAGGGTCTCTGGAAAACAAGTCTCTCCCTCGGGAAGGAAGTCTGCCTCTAATTGCTTTCCAATGAACAATCACTATCTTTCCTTCTTTCAAACTCTCTCTTCCCTTTAGATTACAATGCCATGCAATCTCACGCAGGACTCACACTACACACTCTGAACACAATACAAAGTAGCCTATGTCACTGTTAACAAGATCCTTACTGGGAAATAGCTTCACTATTTGTGGTCTTTTTTTTCCCTTTGTATGAATTTAGTTCTAGATTATTTTTTTCCGCACAAAAGGACATTTTACTTTTATTTAATGAGGTGTTGGGACATATAAGCTTACTATGTTATAATTTAGAATGCTACAGTCTGCCTTTGGTAGTAATAATATCGAAAACAAAAAAATAATATATATATGTATGTATGTGTTTGTGTAAAATTTGAGATTACCCAACAATGAAGAATAGATCACCCCCACACATGACTGACTACTAGCTCCTGAAGAAATACAGTAAAGGTCAGTCTTTGTCACTGTGGGATACAGAGGCTTTCTTTGCGCTATATAAGACAGCAATCTCTCTATGGGTGAGATTTATCTCGTGATCAGAGTAAATAAAACAAATAATGGTGCCAAGTTGTAAAGGTGGAATGATCAGCAATGGACTGTGCTTGTGGATTCTATTAGTTTCCATGGTGATTGCCCCATTTTTTAGAACTTTGCACCACTTTTCGTTTATTTGACAGATCTCCCCTACTATGTCTCCGACCTGCACAGCACCCACAGACTGCCATTTATTACAAAAAAGAGAACTCCACCAGAATACCATGTCCTGTGCCCACCCAGAGCCCAATAACACCTGCTTTACCCACCCAACACCACAATGCCACCCCAGCCCTGCCCTCCCTGATTCTGTGATACCCCCCAATGGGCTGCCCCCAGTGCCAGCTTACCACCCCAGCACTCACTGATTCTGTGATACCCCCCAATGGGCTGCCCCCAGTGCCAGCTTACCACCCCAGCCCTCCCTGATTCTGTGATACCCCCCTATGGGCTGCCCTCAGTGCCAGCTTACCACCCCAGCACTCACTGATTCTGTGATACCCCCCAATGGGCTGCCCCCAGTGCCAGCTTACCACCCCAGCACTCACTGATTCTGTGATACCCCACAATGGGCTGCCCTCAGTACCAGCTTACCACCCCAGCACTCACTGATTCTGTGATACCCCCCCATGGGCTGCCCCCAGTGCCAGCTTACCACCCCAGCCCTCCCTGATTATGTGATACCCCCCAATGGGCTGCCCCCAGTGCCAGCTTACCACCCCAGCACTCACTGATTCTGTGATACCCCCCAATGGGCTGCCCCCAGTGCAAGCTTACCACCCCAGCCCTCACTGATTCTGTGATACTCCCCCTATGGTTTGCCCTCAGTGCCAGCTTACCACCCCAGGGCTCACTGATTCTGTGATACCCCCCAATGGGCTGCCTCAGTGACAGCTTACCACCCCAGCACTCACTGATTCTGTGATACCCCCCAATGGGCTGCCCCCAGTGCCAGCTTACCACCCCAGCAGCACTCACTGATTCTGTGATACCCCCAATGGCTGCCCCAGTACTCAGCCTCCCTGATTCTGTGATGGCTGCCCCTGCGCCAGCACCACCAGGGCTCTCACTGATTCTGTGATACCCCCCAATGGGCTGCCCCCAGTGCCAGCTTACCACCCCAGCACTCACTGATTCTGTGATACCCCCCAATGGGCTGCCCCCAGTGCCAGCTTACCACCCCAGCACTCACTGATTCTGTGATACCCCCCAATGGGCTGCCCCCAGTACCAGCTTACCACCCCAGCACTCACTGATTCTGTGATACCCCCCAATGGGCTGCCCCCAGTGCCAGGTTACCACCCCAGCCCTCCCTGATTCTGTGATACCCCCCAATGGGCTGCCCCCAGTGCCAGCTTACCACCCCAGGGCTCACTGATTCTGTGATACCCCCCTATGGGCTGCCCCCAGTGCCAGCTTACCACCCCAGCGCTCACTGATTCTGTGATACCCCCCAATGGGCTGCCCTCAGTGCCAGCTTACCACCCCAGGGCTCACTGATTCTGTGATACCCCCCAATGGGCTGCGTTCAGTGCCAGCTTACCACCCCAGGGCTCACTGATTCTGTGATACCCCAATGGGCTGCGTCAGTGTGCCAGCTACTTCACCCTCAGGGCTCACTGGGATTTCTGTGATACTCCCCAATGGCTGCCCCCAGTGCCAGCTACTACCTCAGCACTTTCACTGATTCTGAGATACTCCCACGGGGCTGCCCCAAAAAGCAGCTTACCACCCCAGCACTCACTGATTCTGTGATACCCCCCAATGGGCTGCCCCCAGTGCAAGCTTACCACCCCAGCCCTCACTGATTCTGAGATACTCCCCAATGGTTTGCCCTCAGTGCCAGCTTACCACCCCAGGGCTCACTGATTCTGTGATACCCCCCAATGGGCTGCGCTCAGTGACAGCTTACCACCCCAGCACTCACTGATTCTGTGATACCCCCCAATGGGCTGCCCCCAGTGCCAGCTTACCACCCCAGCACTCACTGATTCTGTGATACCCCCAATGGGCTGCCCCCAGTGCCAGCTTACCACCCCAGCACTCACTGATTCTGTGATACTTCCCAATGGGCTGCCCCCAGTGCCAGCTTACCACCCCAGCACTCACTGATTCTGTGATACCCCCAATGGGCTGCCCTCAGTGCCAGCTTACCACCCCAGCACTCACTGATTCTGTGATACTTCCCAATGGGCTGCCCCCAGTGCCAACTTACCACCCCAGCACTCACTGATTCTGTGATACCCCCCAATGCCAGCTTACCACCCCAGCACTCACTGATTCTGTGATACCCCCCAATGGGCTGCCCTCAGTGCCAGCCTACCACCCCAGCACTCACTGATTCTGTGATACTCCCCAATGGGCTGCCCTCAGTACCAGCTTACCACCCTAGCACTCACTGATTCTGTGATACCCCCAATGGGCTGCCCTCAGGGCCAGCTTACCACCACAGCACTCACTGATTCTGTGATACCCCCAATGGGCTGCCCCCAGTGCCAGCTTACCACCCCAGCACTCACTGATTCTGAGATACCCCCAAATGGGCTGCCCCCAGTGCCAGCTTACCACCCAGCACTCACTGATTCTGCTTGATACCCCAATGGGCTGCCCCAGTGCCCGACACCACCCCAGCCTCCTGATTCTGTGGTATTACTTATGGGCTGCCCCAGTGGAAACACCACCCCAGCACTCCACTGATTCTGGCAGTACCCCGAATGGGCTGCCCCAGTGCCAGCTTACCACCCCAGCACTCACTGATTCTGTGATACCCCCCAATGGGCTGCCCTCAGTGCCAGCCTACCACCCCAGCACTCACTGATTCTGTGATACTCCCCAATGGGCTGCCCTCAGTACCAGCTTACCACCCTAGCACTCACTGATTCTGTGATACCCCCAATGGGCTGCCCCCAGGGCCAGCTTACCACCACAGCACTCACTGATTCTGTGATACCCCCAATGGGCTGCCCCCAGTGCCAGCTTACCACCCCAGCACTCACTGATTCTGAGATACTCCCAAATGGGCTGTCCCCAGTGCCAGCTTACCACCCCAGCACTCACTGATTCTGTGATACCCCCCAATGGGCTACCCCCAGTGCCAGTTTACCACCCCAGCACTCACCGATTCTGTGATGCCCCCAGTGCCAGCTTACCACCCCAGCACTAACTGATTCTGTGATACCCCCCAATGGGCTGCCCCCAGTGCCAACTTACCACCCCAGCACTCACTGATTCTGTGATACCCCCAATGCGCTGCCCCCAGTGCCAGCTTACCACCCCAGCACTCACTGATTCTGTGATACCCCCGAATGGGCTGCCCCCAGTGCCAGCTTACCACCCCAGGGCTCACTGATTCTGATACCCCCCCAATGGGCTGCCCCCAGTGCCAGCTTACCACCCCAGCACTCACTGATTCTGTGATCCCCCCAATGGGCTGCCCTCAGTGCCAGCTTACCACCCCAGGGCTCCAGGTAAAACCAGTCTTTCTGTGAATGGCCAGTCCGGTCCTCCTGCCAGTGAATGTTCCCGACCAGCGCCCCGTCCCTCCGCCCAGGCAAGGACATACATCAAACCCCACACCTCCTCCATCATCACCACCATCATCGTCCAGCACTGCCTTGCAGCTGTCACATGTGCCAGTCACGTGGGCGGCCCGGGCGCCGCCATGTTTGCTCCGGGCAGCGCCAGCAGCGAGGGCCGCACACCCCGGTGACGTCACGCGCGGTGTGAGGATTCTGTCCGCTGGGGTCGAGCTCGCGCTCAGTCTTGCTGAAGGCGGGAAAGAGTGAGGAGTGGGGGTGCTGCCTCTCTGATACAATACTCAGTGCCTGACAGTAACTGTGTCATTGTATTACCTCAGATCTTTATTAATGGGGAGTTCATGTCCTATGCCTGCTGTGTTTCACTTGTATAATAGTATCCTGTGTGAGTCTGAGGTAAAAATGTTATTTATTGGTCTGTATGCAGTGCTGTCAGATGGTAAAATCTGTGCAGTCACCATGGCAACCATGAAATATTCCAGCTGGTTTTAGTAATTTACCTCAGAATTGCTGTCACAGACCAATCTCGCTTTGTGTGGTAATAACTCCATTTTGTTTTGTTTTTTGTTTCCTGAAGGAGAAGCCAGGTCTCTATGAATTTGCTCTTGAGAGGTCCCTGTGTTAGCCCTGTAAGTATAAATGTAATAATAACTTGTATTGTACCTTTCACAGAGAGACCATTAGAAGTAGGTCTGTCAGATCTACCAGGATTTTTTGGACATTTATTATATCTTTTTTTGATGGTGATGTGGAATCAATCACTTAATTGATTATCTTGCGTATCTGCCCCCGGCCAAATTTAAAAAGATGCGTGCACGCTCCTGAAGTAATTCACACCAAACACAGGTTTCGGGTTAATGAAAAACTTGAGGAAAGTTTATTCTGAGGGGACGACATGCCCCTTATAAAACAAAATGACATCATAAGCATTGTCAGAGATAACATGGAATAATACATCAATAATTGGTTAGATGTTAAGTAGTTCATTTAGTGCCCTTCCTACCTGGTGTGATGTCACTGGTACCTTGGAGGTCTCCCTCAGATTCCAGCGCTATCTTGTTAATGAGGGTGTTAGTCGATGTCAAAGGGAAACTCCCTAGCAGCCATTTTAGGTAAATCACATATAAAGTTAAATAATGCTGATTGTAGGTATGCTGAGTAAATAGGCATTTTACTAACCTAAATCGAGTTAATATTTTTGTCCACAACAGTCCCCCTTTAAAATGACTATTTACTAAAGAGACAACTACTAACTGACCCTACTAATGTCCCTACTTGGCTGCAGCTCATCTGTCTGAACAGGCCTTGAACGCTTCACTGCATGGGTATGCCGTAGTGGCTAACCCACTACATTTCCCGCATCAGATTTCTACCCGTGGAGACAGATGCTGTTCCTACAAAGACGTAGCTGTCCTTTTGAGGTGGTGGGACTGAAGAGGTGTATGTGGGGTATCACAGTCCATGTCGTCAATTTCTTGAGGTAGGAATGTAGGTGTGGTGTGGTCAATGGTCTGACCTACAGTCTTCTGTAAGTATTTCTGCACACAGGGCATCACACAGCAAGTCAGGAAGAGAAAGAGAATTACTACAGTAAGAACCGCCATATCTACTTGAAGGAGAGTTTTCTGCCATCCACTCATCCAACCAAACCATCTGTCCCATGAATTGGGGACTCCTGAGTTCTTTGTTAATTCATCAGAGAGACTTTCTAATTTCACTATGGCCATAGTAACCTTACCATTTGGGGCCTGTATTGTCTGGGATGAAGGTACCGCGTGTCATAGTATCGGGAAGTATTTTACACACGCCCCCTTCTCTGCTAGTATCATGTCTAAGACCATTCGATTCTGAAATGTCATTTGGGAGGTAGTCTGTAACTTCTGCCAAGCCCTGGAGGGCATCCCTCGTGTAATTGACAAAGCGTTGCTTATTGTAGTAAATATAATTGATCCAATTAACATTCTTGTTAGCGGTGATGAGTGGGATCAAGATTCGTATTCTGCTGCAACCTCATCTCTGGCCTTGAACTCGTTTGATACCCCCCTGGGTACACCTATGGCATCGATATATATGTGGATCGAAACTACCTCGAACAAGGGTTTCTCTCTTTACCCTAAAATATGTGTGTAGTGAATCAAGTGGGCCTTGGTGGTTATCAGAAATCATATGTATGGGCATAATGGCTTTGGTCAGTGTGCATTCTCCCCACCACAGGCCAGTCATTTTAGAACTGAGCTGCATGTCACCACATAGCCAATAAATGTCTCCCACGGACTTAACATGATTTACTAATAGGGCAGTGGGAGGTTCTCGATAGGTAGTACAGTAGCCAGAAGGGCATTTACGCACACATTTTCCTGTGGCTCCATGTATTTTGTAGCAAGAGTAGTTACCTGGGTACACGGTGATCCCATCAGGTGGCTTGATATTCCCTTTGGGTTATTGGGTATACCTTTTTCCATGATTCACACACAGAATAGTTTGTTGGTGACTGCGCATAAAGTCTTAGAAAACACATTTCAACATCTGAAGGTAGACTGAAGGGCACTGTACACAGATGGGGTCTGGCCTCTCCACAAACACAACAGTTAGTTTTATTGTGTGAATTAGCACTATACCTCATCCACTCAAGCCATAAATTAATATCTGAAAACCCAGTCTCCACAGCCATAGTGTCTTCAAATGTGGGATTAGCAATGGCTACCATGTCTTTAAGTGTTTTAATGTGGTGTAAATAGAAGGTCCCCAACTTGTTATGAGCCACCCCCTTTCCAAAACATTCCCATTACGTACTCCCCAGCGTCTCCTGGGCTGGGATGTTCTATGTTTAAGGTGAGTTTCATTGGGGTAGACCCTGTTGGCTTACATAAGGTCATTCTGTGTAACAAGGGTTTCCCATATCTGTCAATCCTATCTAAGGCACTTTGTGGTCTGTAGCCCCACGGTCGGCCTGTGTTCCAACCTGCTGCTTTCCAGGTACCACAGTGGTGTCCCCAATGGCCACCTGTCACACAAATGTAGGGGTCCTTCTCATTCGGTATGTCTTTGTATATTGCTGAGTGTTGTGATTGCGGAAAGGTACAAGGAACAATATCACAGTAATCAAAGGTAAAAGTAGCTACATGTGTGTTTGAAGAGTTATACCAGAATGTATAAACATGATTGTCTTTGGTAATAGCAACTTGTTGTTGGGCCTTTAATAGGCCTAGCAACAGAAATACACAGGAAGCTTATAGTTTATCGGGATCTGCTTCCTCTGGATCAGGAACTTTCTTACAGTGCGAATATCCAGGTATTCTTCCCGGTCAACTTTACAGAGGTAGATATAGTCAATAGCACTTGGAATGGACCATCAAACCTGGGCTCATGGGTATGTTTTCTGAGGAACTTCTTGACCATGACCCAGTCAACAAGAAGGAGTTTGTGTGCCTGTATTTTATTCTGGATCTGAAATAGAAGAAAACACCTGTGCATGGATTTTGGTCAAAGCATGAGAGAGTGCAGTTATATAATCTACCATTGCATCTGACTGAAGTTGGAGTTGTTGAGGAAAGTAACAGCCTAACTTGGGTGTGGTACCAAATAAAATCTCGTAGGGGGAGAAGCTAAATCTCCCTCTTGGAGTGTGCCTTACACTAAATAGTGCTATGGGAAGACTTTCTGGCCAGGGTAGGTTAGTTTCTTGGGCCATCTTAAGCATTCTGGCTTTCAAGGTGCCATTCATGCGTTCTACCTTACCACTACTCTGTGGGTGATAGGGTGTGTGGAATGCAAGGGTCACCCCCAGTGCTGCCCAGATTTCTTTGGTTTGTAAGGCGGTGAAGGATGTTCCCTGGTCACGTTCGATCACCTCAGGAACCCCATATCTGCAGGTGATTTCGGTAAGTAGACGCTTTGCTGTGGTCTTCGCGGTGAGATTAGTGAAGGGAAAAGCTTCTGGCCATCCTGAAAACATATCCACTATGACCAGTGCATATTTATACCGGCCACTCTTTGGCATTTGGATATGATCAATTTGGATCCTTTGGAAAGGGTACTGTGGCTTGGCCAAATGGTTTGGTGCGGCTTTAATTATTTTTCCCGGATTACATCTGGCGCAGATAGTACAGGATCTGCAGTAATTTTGTGTCAAAGTGGTGATTCCGGGAGCTTCAAAATATTTGTCAGAGAGTTCATGAGGTGCTTAGATAAATGAGCTGGTCCATGGGCCCACTGGAGGACAGCTGGGTACATACTCTTGGGTAGACAGAATTTGAGGTTTATTGTGTATACTTCATTCTGGAGGGTTGCCCCTTTATCTTTCCAACTTTGTTTTTCCTGAGGGGTGGCAGCGGCCTGTTGTTCTCTTAGGAGCTTGAGATCGGTGGGTAAGGTCTGAATAGGAGTCTTTTTGACGGACTCTCTTCTGTCCACTTCCCAACACTTTCGCGCCGAATCCTTAGCGGCCTGGTCGGCTAAGTGGTTGCCACGTGCTTCTTCTGAATTTAGTCTCCCGTGGGCCTTTACCTTCAGAATGGCCACCTCTTCAGGAAGCAGTAAAGCGTCCATCAATTCTTTGATAGCTGCGCCATGTTTCACAGGGGTACCTGTTGCTGTAAGGAACCCCCTGGTTTTCCAGATTAAGCCAAAATCATGCGCCACGCCCAGAGCATACCTTGAGTCTGTGTAAATATTAACACACTTCCCTTCAGTCATCTTGCATGCTACCGTGAGGGCTATTAGTTCGGCTTCTTGTGCTGACTTAGATGATGGAAGTGCAAATGCTTGGTGTAGCGGAGAGGTAGTATAATCCACAGTATCTCCGCTGGGTAACAGGAACAGCATAAAATAATCCAGGGAAATAAATACAGCATACAATAATCCCGGTAGCGTTGTAAGAATCCTTCCCTCCAAAGAACTGGACGACACATAGGCTGGGAGCAGTGGCGTACATACCAGGGTCGCAGGGGTCGCGACTGCCACCGGGCCCGGCCCACCAGGGGGCCCGGCCGCCCCTGCGACCCGGTATGTACGCCCAGGGCCAGCCTCTTCCCCTTGGGGGGCCCAGGAGCCGACCACCCCAGGGCCCCCCTGAGGCTGGCCCTGCTGACCCCGGGTGGCCGGCCGGTCGGGCAGGAAGGCGGGCGCGCGAGGGAGGCACTCAGTGCTTCCT